GCGGCAGCAGCCGTGGGGCCCCCGCCCGCGCAGCAGCTTGAGCGGGCTTTTAGTACCCTATGGGTTCAAAAAAGGTGTCGAGGGGCCCCCCAGGGGGCCCCTCTGGGGGCCTCCCCGGGGGCCCCGCGCCGGGTGCTGCGGGAGGGGGGCCCCAGGGGGCCCCCGAGGCCCCCGAACTCGACGAAGCAGCGCTGCAGCGGCTGCAGCAGCAGCTGCTGGAAGACGAAGAGTTTGCTGCAGACATGAGGGCTTTGCTGCTGGCGAAGTTCAGGGCCAAACACCGCAAGGGGGGCCCCCAGGACTGCAGCGAGGACTCCGAAGAAGAGTCTGAAGACTCTCTAAACCCTCAACAAACCCTAAACCCTCAACAAACCCTAAACCCTCAAGACCTCCGCAGACTCCAACAACTCGGCTACCAACTCCAGCCCCACGAAAGACTCATCCCCAAAAGCAAGTCCCACACTACAAAAGGACCCACAGGGGCCCCTAAGGGGCCCCCCGAGGGGCCCCACAGGGGCCCCCCAAGGGGCCCCACAGGCGCCCCCAAAGGGGCCAAGACCTCTAGAGGGGCCCCTGTGGGGCCCCACAGGGGCCCCTAAGGGGCCAGCAGCAGCAGCAGCACAGCAGCAGGAGCAGCAGCAGGGCCTCGCAAATGTCTGGAATTTCATCTTTTTGTTTTATTTTTGTTTTATTTCCTTTTTGTGTTTAGAAAGAAAAGCCTCTAAAGTGGTGGACGGGGAGGCTCTTGAGGCGGAGGAAGAAGCAGCAAATGCGGCTGTCTCAGATGAACAAGGTGAGGCCTGGGATCGTCTGGGATCGTCTGGGATCGTGTGGGGTTATCTGGGATCGTCTGGGATCGTGTGGGGCTGTCTGGGGTCGTCTGGGATCGTGTGAGGCTATCTGGGGTCGTCTGGGATCGTCTGGGACCGTGTGGGATCGTGTTGGGTTATCTGGGATCGTGTGGGATCGTGTGGGAGCGTGTGGTGTAATGTGAGATCGTCTGGGATCGTGTGGGGTTCTTGGGATCGTCTGGAGTCCTTGGGATGTCTGGGATGTGCTACTCTTGTTTCCCTCCCGCTGCTGCCGCTGCTGCTGCTTCCCTGCTGCTGCCGCTGCTGCTGCCGCTGCTGCTGCTTCCCTGCTGCTGCCGCTGCTGCTGCTTCTCCCCCTGGTGCATCTCCCACTGTTGCTGCTGCTGCTGCTGCTGCTGCTGCTGCTTGTGCAGCTTTGCTGCAGAAGCTGGAGGAGCTGAAGTACGAGCCGCCGCCGGGAATGCGGCGAGTGCCTTTTGTGGAGACTTTGGCCATTGTGGTCAGCCCTGATGCTGCTGCTGCTGCTGCTGCTGCTGCTGGGGAAGATGGGAAGGAAGCAGAAGAAGCTTTGGACGACCTCAAGAGGGAGGCCCGGTTGTACGCTCCTGCTGCTCCTGCTGCTGCTGCTGCTGCTGCTGGTAGTACTGCTGCTGCTGCTGTGCTGCTTTTTCTCCGCTTCGTGCTGCTCTCCGCTCCGTGCTGCTCCTGCGCTGCTGCTGCTGCTGCTGCTGCTGCTCCTCTTCCTGCTGCTGCCTATTCCGCACTCCCGCTTCTCCCTGCGCTGCTCTTCCTCCGGTGCTTCCTCCCGCTCGCTTAGCCTTGCCGCTGCCGCCGCCGCTGCTGCTGCTGCGCGCGCACACCCGCTGCTGCTGCTGCTGC